TAATTTGCACTTGAATATTTTGCTCTGTCTACCCTCGAAGGATACTATTCACTCACTGTTTTGCACATTATTTAAAATAGTTAATTGCATTGATTGATAATAAATATAATAATGGTCACAGTTCACAGATTTCGTCAATGTTTATGTTAAGTTTATTTATTTACACTCATAGTCTGTTTCACACTTTTTTAGTAGATGCACACACTTTTCAGTCCATGTTCAAATATCTTAGTCAAATCTTCACCATTGTTGTAGATAACGCTTTCACTTAGAGATAACATCTTAAAAAGCAAATTAAAAGACATAGAAACACAAAAAGAGAACTTTAGCTATTTTTAAGAGTTAAAAATTACGGAGTCTTGTGTGGGACAAACTGTCGTCTGTCTTCGATGACTGTGGGATAACACGTCGAGTCGGCTTACTGCGTGATCTATGTAACACCTCACTCAGTGTATGTCAAAGCGTAGAAGAGTACATGAGCAAAATAATATCGACTGCTCATAAGCTCCGGAACATAGGCTTCAAGGTGGATGATGACTGGCTCGGGACACTGCTGCTCTCCGGTCTTCCTGAGTCTTATCAGCCTATGATCATAGCTATCGAAAGCTCCGGCATGAAGATAACTTCCGATGCTATAAAAGCAAAGTTATTACAAGATGTAAGGCATTCTGAAAGTAATTCTGAAGCATTTGCGGTGAACAAAAATTTTAAGAAGTTTCACAAGAAAGAATCTAACGGACCTAGATGTTATACATGTAACAAATATGGGAACAAGAGTCCCGAGTTCAAATCCAAACCAAAGAATAATGCACAGAAGTCTACGAATTCTCCAAAGTCTTCATATGCTGCTGTGTTTATGGCATCATCCAGTGACTATGGTGATGCATGGTATGTGGATTCCGGTGCGTCCGCTCACATGACAAAACACAAGAACTTGTTTCTAACTCAAACAGTTCCCGATGATCAGAATATAAGAACTGCAGATAATAAGTTGTTAACTGTAACATGTGCAGGACAAGTGAGCTTAGATGTCTACAATCATAAAGGACAAGAAAACAAAGTACTGTTTACCAATGTACTGTATGTCCCAGATCTGGCAACCAATTTGCTGTCCGTGAGCCAGATATTCAAAAGTGGTGGCCAAGTGAAATTCAACAGTACTGGCTGCACTATTTTAAACAGCAAGAACCAAATTGTTGCCACAGCGAGTCTCGTCAACAACATGTACCGGCTGAATATTCCAAAAGACTATGGATGCATGTCAGATGTTGCAGAACAAGATAATTACTTATGGCATCAACGGATGGGGCATCTAAACTTCTACAGTTTAAAGAAGATGACATCCAACACTGAAGATGTAGTTCTCTCAGCAAAACCAGAGAAGGTGACATGTTTAACTTGCAAAGAAGGTAAACAGACACGACTACCTTTTGAACTTGAGGGCTCCAAAGCTACAAAGGTTCTTGAGCTGGTCCACTCTGATATTTGCGGACCTATGGAAACACAATCACTTGGTGGTGCCAAATACTTCATCACATTCCTTGATGACTATTCGAAGAAAATCTTTGTTTACTTTCTCCGAAACAAGTCTGATGCCATTAAAAAATTCAAAGAGTTCAAGAATGAAGTTGAGAACCAGTTAGATGCTCGTATAAAAACTCTTCGCACAGACAACGGCCTGGAATATGTAAATAGAAATTTCTCAAAGTTTCTGAAAAGTGCTGGCATCATTCACCAGACAACCACACCATACACACCGGAGCAAAACGGAACTGCAGAACGAATTTACCGGACATTAGTCGAAAGGGCAAGATGTATGCTGCTGAACGCTAATGTGCCAAAAATGTACTGGGCTGATGCCATACATACTGCAGCCTACGTCATAAATCGTTCTCCTACTAAGTCCTTATCATTCAAAACTCCAGAAGAAATGTGGTCCAGTCTGAAGCCAACAGTCAATCACATGAGGATTTTCGGCTGTGAAGCTATGGTGCACTTACCCAAAGAAAAACGAAAGAAATTTGATCCAAGGGCACACAAGATGATTTTCATCGGATATTGTGAACACACAAAAGGTTACAGATTCATAATACCTGATACTAGAAGAGAAATTAAAAGCAGGGATGCTGTATTTATAGAATCCCGTGTGAAAAGAGACTTTGTTCCTGTAGAGCTGTCAACAGCGACACCTGAAACAGAAAAATATGATACAGATTCAGAAAACTCATATGATACAGTTCAAATTTATGTATGCGAGTCATTTCTACTAGTATCTTAATATGTAAGTCTAGATATTAGCACGTCACTACCTTGTTTAATATACCACGCAATCTTGTATACCCATTCTTATAAGATACACCATACAAGAATGCATGGTAAATTCAGTGAACTGCTCCTGAATCGAATGTACCTACTACTACTATTTCTATTTATTTATATTAACCGGCAGACAGTGGTGACTGAGTTTGTTGCGGCGCTTCTTCTCAGCACTTGCCAAATGTTGGTCTCGAAGCGCTGGTAGGGTAAAAAGATTATGAGACATGTAGAGGCTCCTTAAGAGCAAAATGACGATTTGTAAGAACTATTTATTAGTCCAAACAAATAAAGAAATTTTGACTTTGACTTTGACTTTGACTTTGTAACAGAGAACAGGTCTACTTCAGAAAGGGAGTACTTACCAGACACAAGTATTAGTTCTCCGGAGACCAGAAAAATAACATTGAGACCTAAAAATAGAAACATACGAAAGGTACAAAATCTGGAAGATGAAGAGGAAAATACTTACCTGTCTAGACACAATAANTGTATTTAATCATTAGCCCAATTATAACTCTTTATTGAAAACATGACAGTACATTTATTTACTTATAACAATATTAGCTAACTTGGTCTTGAAACAATGTTGTTAAGGTACTCTTAACTTTTGTGCTTACAATGAACTAATTAAACGCTAATACAGTGTGAGTCACGTTAAAGTGTACATATGAAAATAGATGAAACTAGACCTATTTTTATCGACAAAAAAGTGGTCAAAATTTTTTTGAGATTTTTTTAAAAAATGNAGAGAACATGTCTACTTCAGAAAGTGAGTACTTACCAGACACAAGTATCAGTTCTCCGGAGACCATAAATATAACATTGAGACCTAGAAACAGAAACATACGAAAGGTACAAAATCTGGAAGATGAAGAGGAAAATACTTACTTGTCTAGACACGAAGAGACTCCAGTCGATTATACAGCATACATTCCTGAAACATACAAAGAAGCTATTAGTTCAACAGAAAAAGAAAATTGGATAAAAGCTATAAATGAAGAGTTAGATGCACATNCCTAGAAACAGAAACATACGAAAGGTACAAAATCTCGAAGATGAAGAGAAAAATACTTACCTGTCTAGACACGAAGAGACTCCAGTCGATTCTACAGCATACATTCCTGAAACATACAAAGAAGCTATTAGTTCAACAGAAAAAGAAAATTGGATAAAAGCTATAAATGAAGAGATAGATGCACACCAGAAAAATGAAACATGGACATTGGTAGAGAAGGAACCAAATGCAAAAGTTGTTGGATGCAAATGGGTGTTCAGACTAAAAGATGAACCAACTGGTCCACGTTTCAAGGCAAGGCTTTGTGCAAAAGGATTTTCACAAACCCCTGGGATTGATTACAAAGAAACTTTTGCTCCTACCGTGAGGTACGACTCAATCCGTTTATTGTTGTCAGTGGCTGCTCAAGACAATCTTGAAATCATCCAGCTTGATGTGAAGACTGCCTTCCTGTATGGTGAGCTAGAAGAAACCATATTCATGAGTCCACATGAAGGTCTGTCCTGTGATAAAAAGNGTTGTCAGTGGCTGCGCACGACAATCTTGAAATCTTCCAGCTTGATGTGAAGACTGCCTCCCTGTATGGTGAGCTAGAAGAAACCATATTCATGAGTCCACCCGAAGGTCTGTCTTGTGATAAAAAGATGGTATGTAAACTTAACAAGTCATTGTATGGTCTTAAACAGTCGCCAGGTTGCTGGAATAAGAAATTTGACTCTGTTTTAAAGAAATTTGGTTTTATTCAATGCACAACTGATCAATGTGTATATGGTGCTAAAGTCAATAATAAGAAGTGTTATCTTTGCCTGTATGTAGACGATGGATTATTGTTCTGTAAAGATAAAAATACATTAAAAGCAATAACAAATGATTTGCAAACCATATTTGAAATGAAAATATTAGATAACTATGTAGGATTGCAAATTGAGAAATCAGACAAAGGCATATTTATACATCAAACTAAATATGTAGACCAACTGCTGCACAGATTTGATATGTATAATGCCAACCCCAACAGCGTACCAGTAGATCCGCACGTGAAGTTGCAGAAGGAAGACGGTGAGCCTGAAAAGAACATACCCTTCAGAGAAGCGGTGGGCTCCCTCATGCACCTGGCAATAGTGAGTCGACCAGACATAATGTATGCTGTCAGTCTGCTATGTCGATTTCTTAATTGCTACAATGAGAGTCACTGGAATGCTGTCAAGAAAATCTTAAAGTACCTGAAGAATACGAAACATCATGGCTTGTTCTACAGTCGATCACCAGAGTGTTCAGAAGTCACCGGTTATAGTGATGCCGATTATGCTAATGACGTCGACGCAAGACGCTCAGTGATCGGTTATGTCTTTTTGAAAAACGGAGCGGCTGTGACATGGTCCAGTCAAAAGCAACAATTTTCAATACATAAATATGTTAATACATAGGTAACTAACTTTAGGGATTTTGTTATAAATTCGGATCCACGTGCAAAGACAGCTATTTCCGTATTTAGTGGATCCCGGTATGTCTTTATGTATTAGTTTTTGAGGACATCTTAATCGATTAAGACTAATTTATCACTTTATTTGTCTAAAGCCTGGTCCGCGTCGTGACTGTGCGATGGGCGCCCGCAGTGAGTGTGCGAGCGCGACAGCAACATAATTACGCGCGAGCGATAAGGATGGCTAGCTTGGGGTCATTGGACAAAATTCTACGTGCGCACGGACCAGGCTTTCCATATTCACAAATATTGTTTTGCCTAAAACTTCAACACAAAAATATCCGCCAGGTGTCGCGACGTACGCCGCAGCGGTCCTATTCCGCCTGTCAGAGGACAAGCCTCACGACTACAAGAAGAGACTGTCGATGGAGCTGACCAACTCTCTGTTCCGCGAGGACCCTCAGATGTGGCCCAACGACCTGGCCATGCAGCCTGACTTACAGGTAAACTGAAATATGTAATAAACTGGCAGTTTAAAGTGACGACTGGTTATGGAGGTGTAATCATGCGCAACTCACAATTTTTTTCACAATTAAAATACATAGAACACATAACATTGGGTGAACAAAATCTGTTCTTTTGTTCTTTTTATAATTACTCGCACTTGGATAAACCAGGGTTGAAAAGATACTTAGGGTGGGTTAACTTTGACAAACGTCAAAAATCTGTCAAACTCCATACAAAATAAATACACCGGTTATCGTCATAGTTACGGTCAAAGTTAGGTGGTGCAACTCAGCCTTAGTCTTCATGTTGCTGATTAACTATTATTTCTTGTGACAGACGTCTAGCTAGTTATTGAAATGTAACTGAAAATTTTAACGAATGTCTTTTTGTAAATACGGGTCTAAGAATGTTCTAACATGTCTTTTTAGTCCATGGTAAACTATTTAGAAAGATACAAAGCAAAAATATTTATTCAGTTCAGTATCACACATTCATAATTTACTACATTCACATATTAATTTTATATTTTTCTCCAAGAGATGAGTGTGCAAGAGATTATCAAGAATGAGTGAGATTTGTATGATTGCCAATAAGCTACCAGTCGTCATTTTAAAATGCTACATTGTGTGTGAAGCTTATACATGTTGTAGATATACAGAGGTGTTTAATGTTAGCTAGAGCAGCCATTATTGAAATAAACAAAGTTAATTTACGCTGTAAAGTTGGTCAATAGTGTGCTTTAAGAATAAGCAGTGCAATTTCGTAATTACTAGTAAAGTATTTTGCTGATAAGGTAAATGTTAGTTAAGGTAATAATCACATTGTTACGTCGTATGCAACTTTTGAAAGAGACAAGTAAAGATCCGGCACGCTATGTAGCTTTGTGATCATAATATACCTTATGTTGTGTTGATTTGCTTCAATGTGATCAATGTGTTGCACTATGATACTAACGCCCAATCATTGAAGTTAAAATTATTTGTTTTAATAAAATTATTATAAAATTGGGTGTTAGTCGGCACAGCTGCTGTTTGTATCGATGTTTTCATGTTAAAAGAGTCTTAATCAACATCCTTTGATTTTACACCTTATCTCCAACGAATATGTCCTGTTTTTATTTGATTTTGATCCAACTCCCCATTCCTAGGACATGCTCGGGCCCGAGCAAGGTTACGAGGGTCTGTACGGCACGCGCCCTTCGTTTCATCAACAAGGTAAGCTGGCAACACCGAAGTGGGGTGGTTGATTTACTAACAAGGTACTGAGCTTACTTGCAAAAAGTAGGAAAAGTCTAGATGACTTTTGTCCCGGTAAAGAGAAATATGACTAGAGAAGGGAATCACTTTAGCAGAACATAATATTTTGCTAACTACGTGAAACGATCCTAAATAAGTTGTATGTCATAGAAGATACCAACTGAACAACGAATAATTATTTTGCAAGTAAGCACATTACAATGTAGAATTGTTTAGATTTTATTCCTATAAAGATATTACAAACCAAGACAAGTATATTGGCGTTATATTATTATCTCTTACTATTCCAAATAACAATACCTGCATCATTATTAGTAATAAGTATTACATATCAAAATATACTTTATTATCACCATAATCTTGGTGCATTATCGGATTATTGGTGATCTGATTTTTTCAAGTTTATTATTGTTTGCACATGGATGATAAGTTAGTTTTGTAGCATCTTGATAAACTGACAAATGCTTTGTATTACCCAAGTACTTGGTTCGTAATACAAAGCATCCTCAAGTAAGATATAAATCACATGTTTGTTAGAGAGCACTATGTTCCTACTCCTATCTTATATGTGTTGGATTTATCTGTATAAATATATTGTTCTCTCTTCTTTACACGCAGCTTAATCCGGGACCTATTTATCACTAAACGCAGGTGATGGGAATATTATTTATTGAGTGTTTTGTGTTTTAATACTTTTATTTTGTCACATACTTTGTGTATTGTGTATATTCATGGTGTCACGTTTATACGAATAACTGTTTGGTTATAGCATGCAAGCCTTTACTAGGAAGAAAATCCCCGCAGTAACTTCATTTAATAATAATAATTTGATGCTGGAAAAAACTGATTACGCTTCGCAATTCCTAAAATAATTATTTCAAATAACGCTTTTTATATCGACGCTGTTATGGCTATCTGAAATAGCAGCAGCTGCTTTGAAGTCTTGCTGTGGGTCTGTGCCAAATGCATATAAATCAACTACGTAAACTTATCAAAGATTCAGAATTTCAAAACGAAGATCACGAATAAATAAATATGTTTGCGAGGCAAATTATTGTTTTTTTTTTACAACGGTGGTCTTTTTGCCTTGCTGTTTAAAATTCAGTTTGAGACAGATATTTTTTGCAGCCTCTGAAACTTGAAGTAGCTATTGTTTGAAACAACATCATTTACTTCTCTATTGAGTTTCATATTATTGACAAGGCAAGATAAATCTACTGTTATTTTACAATTCATTTGAAACTCTTCTAAAAACTCATCGTATTTGCAAATTAGCCTTTATCTCTTGAAAAAAAGTTATTTTATCTAATGATTCGATTTGAAGATGTGTATTTGGACATTCAGGATACAAAAACACACAAATCTGATTGCATACAAATTCCTATAAATCATCTTCATTAGGTCTTTTAGTCTCCACTCTAGAAGCGGGACCCTCCAACTTCATTTGTAATTTCATTTCATGCGAATAGGAATTCTATGCTGGAAATATCTTTTCATCTCTCCCTCTAATCGCTCTCAACTTATTCCCATGTTACAGGCTACGATCAAATACCGATAGACTCGATGCAGGGCCTGGAAATCGGCAGCGGGTTCGGCATGGAAATGGACATCGGCGAGGCGGACGCGGGCGGAGCCTCCGCGGAGCTCGCCTTCCCGGAGCCTCCGCACGACAACAACAACGTGGCGGCCTGGTACGATACCGACCTGTGAGCGTGCGCGCCGAAATTGTTGTGTTTGAGGTTGGGTGATAGATTTCTAAGGGGTACTACTAGAGTTGTTCAGAATAGGAAATTGTGAATGAAATACTTTTTGTGAGCTGACAAGAGGGATTTAAAAGCGATGTGGAGGGCCCGTGCGGAACTTCCGCACCGCCCTAAAAACGGCTACAGTTGAACAAAGATAAGCTATGAATGAATTTATGTCAAAGCTACTAAATATCAAAAAGTGTCTAATGAGTGTTAGTTTGTCAACTAAAAACTTTGCTAACCTCGTCGTATCTGTTGTGGTTTTCAACCGCCATGGACTAAATGAAATCACAACCTAAGTCACAATTTCTGTTCCGAACAGCTTGTCTAATAGTATAATACTTAGAAGTCTTTGTGAAAAGCGACACTGGGTGGAGCTAGCAGCAATTTTTTAGGCAAAATTTAATAAAAATACAATCGAAATAAAATATGTCGATCTCACTGTGGCTTCACGTCTCGTTTTACTACAATACTCCCTAGCCTCGCCCGTGTCGAAATACAACTTGAATAATCAAGGTTCCATTTTGGACTTCCATTCTTGACGCGATAAGGATTAAATATTACATTAATAATATCTAGTAGAAATAACTCCTTCAAGATTGGAAGTCCTTGTTCCTACAACCGACACATCCACCGAAGGTGAACGCATTTTTAACCGTATGACGCTCACTTTAAATCAGATTTTTGCGTAGCGGATAGACCCTAGTTGATTTTATTTACCCCAAAGGTCTCGTAGTGAATCCAGTAGTTCTGGTCTCCGCTCCGTATAATCTGCTGCTTCGGTAGAAACGGCCTCAAACACACTTGATGTTGTTACAATAGAAATTTTTAGGCTACGGCCTTTTAGACTATACGTTTTGATTAGTTGAAAAAAAATGAAAATGAAAAATGAAAAAACTTTATTTGTAAGTTTATTTCTAACCTCTTAGTTGTTCGTATATTCCCAACTTCAAGAAATAGATAAACACAATCTCAAATTGTATACCTACCAACAGAAAAGCAAGAGTTGTTGAAATTATTGTCAGTCTCCACGTTAAGCTAAGCTCGCCTTAATTCAACGTGGAGGCATTTTGGAATGTGAACTCTGCTGTTACTTTGTCATTTGTAACAACATCTTGAGAAAATGTCGAACAACAAACTATACCTGTGATAGAATCATGCAGCTTCACAATGCCGACCTGCTATTTATCTATAAAGCGTTAAAATAAGTTACCTAACATTTTGGACTGAATTGCCATTTATATTTTCACATTATTGGTGCTAAGTTGAAAATTAAATTAAGATTTCTTGACAATTCGTATCGGTGATCGCCCTGCATTGAATATATCACTCTTTTTATACAGCGCGTATAAAATGCGTGTAATCGGATCATAGGGTAAATAATAGTAAGATTTTTATAGGCTTTAACACGATCACGATTCTCTATCGGAAATATGTAATACGCATTTACTTAGTATTCATTTTTGAAGTTTTATTTAATTAAAATAATTATTATCAGTATCAAAAAGGTTATGACGTGTTTTTTTTATTATTTTGTTACAATATTATTTGAATGGAACTTTTATTTAATAATGGATAAGACTGGTCGATCGAATGTGAGTTATGTATTTGTTTTAATGTTTGACTGCCATATTGATTTCAATTTGTGAGATTTTATCGTTAAATAGTTGACAGAGGCCAAATTGATGGTGTGGTGTCGTCTAGCTAGACCTGCCTGACGATGCGTACGATTTTATCGACATTATTAGTAATCGGGGAACACTATGAGTTCTCTTCTGTAGATTGTAAGTAGATATTGAACGTAATGTAATTGATTATGTCTAAGTCTTAATTATTCATGCATTCAGGTCAATTCTCAGTAGAAGGTTCAAATCATTGTTCGTATGCACTCTTACAACGCACCATTTATGAAGTATACGTTTTGAGGCTACTATTGAGAATAATCTTAACGACCGTATCTCTGAAATGTAATTGCTACGATTTCTCAGTGAATCGTATGAGATAGTACTTAACATACTTTAACAATGCATTGTGTCAGAAGTACTATAGACTGCTTTTGCACCAATAAAATATTCAGACTAGAAAACGCACCATAACTAACATAGTACATACCCGTTAGCAGATTGTATCGATTTAGATTAATGTAATCAATTACTGTAAGATTTAGAATTAATTACGTATTGTCCTTTTAGGGTTCTCTTATATTAATTTTTCTATATGATATTTTAAATCTACTTTGACAATGTATTTATAGTTTTGCATGTAAAAACATTGCTGAAGTGTGAGAATTCGTGTCCACGTTTGGATAATAAACATAATTTAAATAATACTTGGTTTTTTCATTCACATTCCTTAATCCTGTAGGTTTTTTTCTGTATTCTACCAGAAATCACTAGGGCACATTCACAATCAATCGTATTTCTAAGTTTCTAATGTCAAAGGTATAGGTCGCCCAACGAAAGTTGAGGCGAACACATACACTGATGTTATATTTGAATACAGAATACACACAACACTTAAATAACAAACTCACCTCTAAATATCGAATACACACTACCTTGCTCTTACTAAATACTTACAGAAAAAGAAAACTTGTCAGTTAAATAACGTAAGACGCCAACGCGGCAACGTAGCGAGTGAATACAGACAAATCTTTGCTTGTGTTGATCGCCTTAACTCTTGCTACGCGACCAATAAAGGTAACGCTAAGTGGGAATCTCAATAATATTTTTAAAGACCTCACCTGAAAGAAAAACTGGAAGGAAACACCGTAGAATTTACGTCCAGCACGCTTTCTGTCTGTCGAGGCCCTACCCTAAGGGGGAGCGCTTTGTCAATGTTTATACAGCGACCTATTTATAAAACTTAGGACTTTCATTTGTTTTTCTTTTTGAACGTGGCACGTTTTTACGTTTGGATCTTTTTATCAATGGTTGTTTTAAGTTCACAGCGGAAAGTGCCTCAAGTGTATTTTGTCAAGGGGTTTAAAGTTTGTTTACTTTACGCATTATTTTTGAAATGCCCGTGTTTATGTTTTCTAATTTCGTCGATTTTTTCATGTGAAAAAAAAACGTTCGACAACCGAAACTGACCGACAACCAGACAATATTATACCTTGCCAATAGAACTCCTAATCCTGCATCAGTAGCTTGATGCAAAAACACAATTTTATTGCCTTTTCAGTCTCTCAGAACAACTAAACTGCTGTCTCTGTGGTCCTGTTACTAAACATGACGTGAACACTTAACTTCGCGACCCCACAAACTGCTGCTGTGACACCCTTGCTCAACTAAACTTAAACCAAAATGAACAGGGTAACTTAAGAATTTAGTTAAGGTGAACGAGGAATAGTCTACACCAGCGGTTCCCAAACTTATTTTGTCTACTGCCCACTTTTAGGATAAATTCTTTTTAGCGCCCCCATTTGTAGTCGAGTGTCGAGTGCTCAGTCGGTGTCTAAGAGTCCTCCTAGTAAATGACGCCTCCCAAGCCTCTACACAACGTCCCGATTTTTTTTCTGGGTCTCTTACCGCCCCCCTTTAAGCCTGCAGCGCCCACAAGGGGGCGTTATCGCCCACTTTGGGAAAGACTGGTCTACACTGAAATTATGAAAAATTAATGTAACATTGGATTTGTGAAAATCTTCTTTCACTTGGTATTGATAAATTCATTAGGAATCCTCACATTCTTCACAAACTTCCTTAGCTATCTAGTTATTTCTCCTCCTTCAATAAGTTTTATCTAAAACGAGCTTTATAAATAGCTAGTCTATAATCTGTACAAATATTATATTACTCTATCTTTAAAGTTTATTAGAGATGGCAGCACAAATGATACAAAGCAAAGTTTCTATCCGATCTAATAGCTACACTCATCAATATCTTCCCTCATGCCACGGCATGTAAGTTTGATCTCACTTGAGTCACGAAGCTGAGACATAACTCAGCGACCGCAAATTGTTGAGTCGTAGGCGCGACCGCAGCGCTCCTTTGTGTCCCGCCGTGTTACAGTAACTACAACTTGCACTAATCTTGCACTAACTTCGCGGGCGAAAATAGTTTCCGTACCTATTGGGGCACGTGTCTGGGGGACTCATAATTACACTTAATAGCTGCTAGACCAGCAGAGAATAGATTCTATACTAACCTATGAATATGTGGTCTCTGTAATCTGACGAAGGACCACTACAAGTAAGTTCATGGGATTAGTACCTACTTACCTACTTAGTTGGTTGACGACAAGAACCAATTGGAAACAAGAACTTAAACTTATAGCCAGAACGTATTTTTGAAACGTAAGTTTATTAGTACAAGTCTAATAACAACAACTCAGTGGTAATAAATAATCATAGCTGGGCACCGTTAATCAAATAGTTAACTTCGTTAATCGTTAATCCGTTACTAAAAAAATTAACTTCGTTAAACGTTAAAACGTTACATTTCGGAAGATTTAACGCAAGTTAACGTTAATCGTTAATCCGTTAACATGTGATATTAAGACGAATAAAATACCAATAAATTCGAAAGCTTGTATCCTCTGTAGAATTTATTCCTCTTTTATGTTTGCGCTACAAGCTTTCCAAATTGTTTGAACCTTGCATAATATAAATTGTGGATTTTTAACTTCTTAATTAAGAAAATAAAAATCTAAAAAAAACATAAGATGTAGGTACATTACTATAAAAACTACCAACGAAAATTGTTTTGAGCGAGATCTAGTAAGTAGTTTTTTTTTATTACCTCGTAAATCGTAAACCGCTTACCTATTACCGCGTAATCTTTCATACAAATAACTTAAATTAAAAAAAAAATGGTATGGAACCCTTTGTGCGTGAGTCCGACACGTACTTGGCCGGTTTTTTTTTCGTTTTAGTACAACTGCATTTCAGAATAAAAGCTTGTTTTTAAAAAAGTTTTTTAAATTATAATTTTATTATACAAGACAAATCCAACAAACCCAAACTCGATAAATTTCCTCCGTTTCGTTTAGGAATTCCTATGGCCACCTCCTCTCCATCATCAGGACCCTGGACATCATCTAGTACTAAAGTTGAGCCTGAAAAGAACATACCCTTCAGAGAAGCGGTGGGCTCCCTCATGCACCTGGCTATAGTGAGTCGACCAGACATAATGTATGCTGTCAGTCTGGTAAGTCGATTTCTAAATTACTACAATGAGAGTTACTGGAAACGACGTCGACACAAGAAAGTGAAAAACGGAGCGGCTGTGATATGGTCCAGTCACAAGCAACAATTTTCAATACATACAATATGGTAATGCATATGTAACTAACATAGATTTTTGTTATCTTTGTTTTGTAAAAGGCTTAAATGTAGAGGGAGTGTTAAACCTTTTTGAAATTTATCGCCTTTTACATGCGGCTCACGCTTGACCGTATTTTTATTTTTTATTTTGTCTATGACAACTCTGTCACCTTTCTACTCTGCTCTGATCTACGATCCGTACATGTTAATGTTTGGTGTTAATAAATTCACATTTATTTCCTTGATAAAGACTTTAATTTATCAGTTCATACTGATTTGTTTACAAAACGACGAGTCAAAGTGGAGTGTAAGTAAAAATCGTTCAAAATTTTAAGGAAATATCATATTATTATTTTGATTAACTTTTGTGTAAAAACTGCAAGGATTCTGAGGGTTTTAAGAATTGGGGTGGACAGCAGCACTACTTAAGTTGCCGATACAAACAAAAAAACTGAAGTATTTGAAAAATTGTAGTCGTGGTAATGTAAAATATCATAAGGGGTGTCAATTTTCGACGAATTTCATAATTTATTGTGTAACTTAAAAAATAATTGAGATAGATATTTTTTCTTATTTTTCCTAAAGCAGTCATGACTATGTCCACCCTGCGGCGCCAGCTTATTCTTGAATTTTGGGACACGTTGTAGATATATGATACATCTCAACTCGCTAATATTTTTCGGGACAATATTATTTGATCCTCTAAAAACTAATTGATCTTTTTTTTATGTGCACTTTTAAAAATAAATGATGTTTTTTATTATATTTTATCTTTATATTAATTATTGGGTCTATATTGGTTGATCTACGGATAAATTATGAATGATCTTCATTAAAGGTAACATAATATTTATGTTTAACATACTCTTTTAATATTTGGTAAACAAAAATAATATTTGATCCTCTTTTTTAGTTATTGATCTTTAATTTTGTTAATTTGATGATTTTTATATCAAGTTTGCCTTTTAATATTGATCACCTAATAAATACATTTCGATCTATGTATAACTTAACTTTAAAATATATTTGATCTAACAAAAAATATTATTGGTTAATATTTTTAATTAAAAAATATCTTTTAATTTACTCGGTACTTTGTGTTTGAGTGACAATCGTCCGTCATTAGTTACTGAGTTGGCCAAGGGCTTAGCGGCCAATAAGCAAGCAGAATGGTACATTGCCATGTTTGTTTAAATTACAAGCTTTGCTTAGTTTGGGACTAGAGGCGCTATGTAAAATAATTTCTTACTTCTGACATCCCTGAACCCGACATCATAATTTTTACTTATTTATTTTTTTCAAATCGCAAGGTTGATTTTCTCTTAGTATACCGATCTCGACCGTGATCAGTGACCATAAAGTCATCTGTCAACGGGTCGATTAGACACGATAAAAGCACTAAACGATATTTGTTTACTTTTAGTGCGACATCGGGTCGTAAGGACCTGATAAGTTTTTTTTTTCCTTTAGACACGTGCCGCCGGCCGCCGGCTAGCGCAATGTACAGTCACCAAAATAAAATTAAGAAATGCAACAAACTTTTTTTTACTATTCAAATTAAAATTGTGTTTATTGTTAAATCATAGGTACATAAGATAGGTCATAATAAATACCAAGTTGGAACGGAAATGATTCGGAAATTTTATTTAACTAATTAGGTACCTACCTACCTCATCTACTTTTCTATTGTAATAGAAATGATGACATTAACGATTATTTTTAGGATGGACTTTGATTTAGGATGATTGGAATATCAATACAAACAAATTGAAGAGTTTTATTTGCTTCAATAGTCTAATTTAATGTTTCTACATAAATTGACTAGGCCATTGAATTACCTTCACAAAACAATAAGTTTGATTAATTTTTAATTATTATCTGTTATAGGATATTTTATCATGAAATACTCAACACCACAATTTAGATTCCAATCAATTGAAAGCAAGCAGATAAAATAATAAATAAATAAGTTTATTTTTTGTCGACTGTACGCCTATGCCAACTTTTCGGCTCTTGCTTTGGCGGCGTCGGCGTCTTTGTGTCGGCATTTGTCGGCGCGTGCGCTTTGATTTAATTCAGTTTTTGACTAGCTTTCTTGTGTGAAGGTGCGTTTTGTAGTGCTCGTGAAGTGAACTATGACGCACAGGTGCACAAATGCAAATAAATTTACTAAGACGCGCCTTAAAAATCATGGCCTTTGCTGGTTGATTTTTCGATGGTATCGTGAATCCATTTTACTGTGATCAACATAAGATAATAAGGATATACAACGATATGAGAGTAGGCCTGCAACATTGAAGTGATNAATAAGTAGGTATATTCTAGAATTATTTAACAATTTTACAGATTTTGACTAAAATCGCAACCCACTTGTTACTAGCGTTCTTTTAAAAGAACGCTAGTTTTTACATAAATATTTTTAGTAATGTGGGTAGTGTAAACAATTTTGATATGCAACATTTGAAAGATGAGGTGTGTCGCAGTACTGTCCAAGTCTTATAAGTACACTGACGTAAATAACTATAAAGTTTTGGAGCGATTGTTTTGAGATAAATTTATCATGACTGATTTAAGGTAAGTGATAGAAAAAGTGAATTCCGTAACAAGTGGGTTAACAAAACATATAAAATAAAATGAATAAATCAACATTTAGGTCAATAAAAGTGTGGCAAAATTAAACAAGTGTACTTATTCAATGGAAATATTCGTTTTTGTAATACCTTGGTTGTGGCAAAACTAAATAAATGACATACAAAAACTAAATAACAGCAACTTAGTTGTAAAATACGGTTGTGGCAGAACTAAATAATTACATTTTTATTTTTTTTAATTAAAATAATACAAAGTAACATCATCGAAGAATATTGAATTAATAAAGGTAAATTTGCTGTATAAAATATCAAAAGACCTACAGTAAAATATTTTTACCCTTAAAAGTTATCGCCATTTTTAACGAAAAAAAACACAAAAACGTGAATATCTCGCAACTTTGGTTTTGTCAGTTATTTAATTCTGCCACGACGGTGACGATTTATTTATTACATAAACATTAATAAATGACTACCTTCTTTGTATCAAAATTACCTTTACATACCTAGATTATTCTAATTTAAAAAGATATACACGCGTCTTCCTAACTTTACAGAATCCTTTTAACGGGCACCGAAATATCTTGTAAATATTTCAGGTACTGAAGATAAGTAGGTACAGATGACAGCACATCAAGCTTAACCTTATAGCATCTAATGTCGTTGTAATAGAGTCTATTTTACGATAAAAATGTACAGTCTGACGTGCTGTTGGTTGTACTAGCCAACGGCAAAGGCTTTTAAGCTGTGGAATTAAGGATTCTTAAAATAGCTTTGAGCATGTATAATGTAGATCTAAGGGAGTTGTAAATAAACGTCAAAAGAGGGCTGACCTAGCATTACGGCATGGTGGATTATTTTGAATGAAGTCGGTTACGGGTTCGATTGCTAATAGAGTCATTTTAGAAAACATTGTCTTCTAAATTGACTCAACCAGCGATCGAAATCGATCTCTAATTACGCATTAATTTTGCCATTCTATACATTAATGAGATAGTTACATTCAAATGACTCGCTAGTA